CATAATGTCCAGAGAGGAACCATAGTTATGTAAGTCATGGTTGATATCTCATGAATGTACATATCTTATGAGCAATTGAGCATCAAGTAAAGGTTACCTTCACTTTTTCCAATAGCTTTTTGGCATCAGCGTTATTTTTGAAGCGATCACGGACAGGCTGCAAGTTGTAGGTTCATGAGATTTTAGAATGACAGAACAATAAATTAGAATTTGAGTAACCAACAATCATCAAAATCAAATATTGATAAGAGAGACAAGCTGACAACTTGCAGTGTTGGGAGCTGTCAGGAAATGTGACGGCGAGGGGAGATAGGGGCAGTGGATGCAGAGGTTGATGGGATTGAGGGAGGAGGGGAAGTGAAGGGAGGGAAGAGGAGGAGGTTGGTGGTAGTGGTTGAGGGGAAGTGAAGGGAGGGAAGAGGAGGAGGAGGGGAGAGGGAGAGATCTCTTCTGAGCTCAGATGGAGGAGGAGGGGAGAGGGAGAGATCAGTTGGGGATGAAGGGTAGTTTAGGATTTTTTAAATTTTTTGGATAAATACAGTACAAATAATGGGTGTATTGTACATTTGGGTTTAAAAATAAGTGGGATGTGATATAGTGGGTCTATTGATGTTTTGAAAAGTGAATGGGTTTTTAAATAAGTTGGGGTAAAACTTTGGGTTAAAAGAGGATTTTCCCTTAAAAACATAAGATTTATTAATCCCCTTGTGGAAGACGACATGTGTCTCAGGTCAATACTAATCAACAGGTAAGCTCACTCCCTAGCCAAGGCGACCCGAGCACCACACGTACTCGTCCTTTCCCTAGTAAATCTAAGTCGAGTCAGACTCTCACTCGACCTCATCGATCGAGTCAACCACACTCATTCTCTGGGAGTTGGATCGACAACTTACACGGCCGACAAGAAAGGCGATACTTGTCGGCTCACACGCAGAGCCGAGTCGAAAGGCGGTTCGTCCTCGAACTCTACACCAACAGCTGTCCACTATCATCATAGTTAGTGCTCCTAGTCACCATGACTCACCACCTATCACCAGCGTCATACCCTCTCAATCACCGTCATATCAAATCAAAGGTGATTTATCACACAAACCATCGATGCTTGTAAAGCTATCTGCCAATCCAGCTGTTTACCTAAACTGGGCCATAATTACCCTTCTACCCCTCACAAATGGGTATATATATGGGCTCATCACCTACTGAGATGATGTTGATGCTCAGGGCCCGTTTTGAGGCCACAAGTATGCAGTTTTTGCACACTTATACTAGGAACTTATTCAGTTCATAGGTTTCTTCTCCAATCAAGCTCAAATACTGATTTAACCGTAGGAGAAGTCATCGGAGAACCCAACTCTGGTCCTCTAACGTACCTATTTTGTATCTTGCTCATCTTAGACAGGGCATCGGTTGTCTGAGGGGATGACAAAACACACACCATACATATCGATCCTAAGCTCCATCGCTGATTCAGGATTATCTGCTAATCTTGATGCTGAGTCTCATGACATCAACACATAGTTTATGATCCAAGTTCATATCTTCCACTAATATTTTGAGTTCAAGTTAATATCTTCTTAACAATGAGTTAATTAGGCTTAAGATGACTGACAATTCTTTTGTTGGGACCTAAAGACTAGGATCCCAAGTCTAAGATCAATTGTGAGAAGATGATAATCAAATGCGGAATAAACACAGCACAAACAATTATAATCGAGCAGCCAATGTAACGTGGTTCAGCCATGACTTGGTCCTATATACGTCCACAACCAAGAAGGAGAGATCTTCCATTACATCAGTAAAATGACAACAATACAACTCCCGACACTCAAAGCTTACACGAAGATTGAGACTCTACATTGAGAATAATCGAGATATACAAGATACAAGGGTTTACTTCACTAGCTCCAAGTACACAATCACTAGAAGAATCACCTTCTAACAACAAGTAGAAGTCAACCAACGTCTCCAAGGTGCTAAGCAATGTTGAACAAATCAATGAAGATGGGCTCTTTACAAACTCTAGCCCCTCCACTAGTAGAAAACTGAGTATTGGCGACGGGGTATTGGCGACGGATTTGATATCCGTCGCCAATACAAACATTGGCGACGGAACATTGGCGACGGGGAGAGTCCCGTCGCCATTGTTTGTATTGGCGACGGATTTGATCCGTCGCCAATGTTTTTCCGTCGCCAATAAGTATTGGCGACGAAAAAACATTGGCGACAGATCAATTCTGTCGCCAATAAGTATTGGAGACGGATAACATCCGTCGCCAATAACTATTGGCGACAGATTAGATCCGTCGCTAATGTTCAGTCGCCAATAAGTATTGGCGACGAATCTAATCCGTCGCCAATACTTATTGGCGACGGATTCAACTCCGACGCTAATACTTATTGGCGACGAATTTTATCCGTCGCCAATGTTCCGTCGCGACGGATTCAAATCCGACGCTAATACTTATTGGCGACGGATTTTATCCGTCGCCAATGTTCCGTCGCCAATACGTATTGGTGACGAATTAGATCCGTCGCCAATACTTATTGGTGACGAATTCGACCCGTCGCCAATACTCCGTCGCCAATAAGTAATGGCGACGGATTAGATCCGTCGCCAATACATATTGGCGACGGATTCAAATCCGTCGCCAATACTTATTAGAGACGGATTCGATCCGTCGCCTATGTTCCGTCACCAATATTTATTGGTGATGGATTAGATCCGTCACCATTACTTATTGGCGACGGATCTAATCCGTCGCCAATACGTGTTGTCGACGGATCTAATCCGTCGCCAATGTTCCATCGCCAATACTTATTGGTGATCCGTCATCAATGCTAATGTGTCCATCATAAAAAATTAACATTAGTGGGGTATTATCCCATTGTTAATGAGTGGCCCAATAAAAAATTAAGAATTATTTTAATATTAGTCCCTCAAATCTATAATATTTTAAATGTAGTCCAATACTATTTTGTTCCACGTAGGTAGATGATAGCTTGAGAGCTGAGGACGTGGAAGTCTACTATGATCCAGGACAGTTGTTTGGCAGCCTTCTCAAGGGCCCCCTGCTCCCCTCTAGCGTCGCCGTCGAGGAGGCTGTAGTCACAACTTTGTCACTGGAGGCATGTCTCTTCTTCAGAGAGAAGTGATATATGCTTCCTGAATTTGAATTTGCTTGGAGAACGAATCTAGTAGTTTTCTCGTTAATAAATGAATGGATGTTTGATGCAAGTTTCCGATATGAATAAATAAGGGCTAAATTTCACAAACTACTCCTTCACTTGGGCCGTTTCTGTCATAACCCTGTGAACTATTTTTAATGCTATGAAAGCTTTCTTAACTTGACATCTCGGATTCTCTACAATCTTGATTGTAAAGAATGCATACAATTAGTTAGGTGTGCTACTACTATTGGCTAATCTCAGTGAATCCACAACTAAAGGTATTTCATATTATTTAGATAGTTAATATCAAAATTTGAAGGGTTTACACATAACTTCTTTAGCAGAATAAATATACTTTGATATTCGATTAGTATTGGTGAGTTTTTGACTTTGACTTTGATTAGTTTAGAGAAAATGATAGTATAAAATTTTATTTTATGCCGAAATGGATCGCTTAATTTATATTATGAGAAGAAAGAATTGGAATGTAACTATTGGATCTGTCCAGTTCGGACGGGTTAGGAATATAGTAGTGCATACATCTAACTTGGTATACTTTGTGCATTTTTATTTCTAGAAAATCTCGGTCGCATGTACTTGTTGTTCTCTGGGTACAATAAGCGTATGTTATTATGCGTATCGGCTTATTACTTACCGATTTCGGTTTATTACCGATACACATAATAACATCCGCACAGTGTACTTGGAGAACAGCGGGTAGGTGCTGCCAAAATTTTCTAGAAATAAAAATGCACAAATTATTCAAAGTTAGATGTAAGCACTACTATATTCTTAATGGGATAGAAGCCTTCCTATGACAGCCGAGAGTGTTGTTTCAAATCAGGATTACTTATCATTGAGTGTTAGCTTTTACTTGGTATGACAATGAAAATTATAGAATAGTAATTTAATTTGATTGATTATTTGTTCAAATGAACTAAAATAAAGACTATTAAACTTAAGGCGACCTATGAAATATTGAATTAATTAATTAGTTTACCTATTATACAGATGAGAGAAGTTCCTGATAAGTCATGGATTGATATTCTTATATTTCAAAGAAGAGCGAAAGATGATACTCGATATCGAGACGGATGGGAAGCATTCCTTGAGTATGCATATGCTAATCCGAGGAAGGTAGATAATGATTTGTTGTGTTGTCCATGTAGTAATTGGTTACTACTAACATGTATACTTATTTTATAAATTATTTTATTTTATTATTTTTAAATAATTAATAGTTATAATATTATTGATAATTATAATTGTTTAGGAAGATGAGAAGTAATGAGAGGTTATATATTGAAATGATTTGATGGATGTAATATAAATTTCCATGACTTGAGTGAGTAATTTTGAAATATTGAAGATTTGAGGGTTAATATTGAAATAATCCAATGATTCACTCTTAACTTAAGGATCTACGAGGAAAATTGGTAATATTAGTTAGAATTGAGGGTTGCAATAGTAAGTTATATGAGATTTTGGGGACTAAATTGAAAATCTTAAATCTTTGAGGGGTTAAATTAAAATGGACAAGTATAAAGGAACCAAATAACGTGTTCTCCGGCCTCTTTCTCTCTCGCGATCTTTGAAAAACCCTAGCTTACAGGATTTCTCCCGCCGCCCGCCCTCTCCCGCCTTGCCCCTCTGCGCCGCCTACCCCCCCCCCCGCCCCGCGGCGCGCCCAGCCCCCGACGCCTTCTCCGCGACCTGCCCCTGTCGCCCTCTCACGGCCTGCCGTTAACCCCTGCCTACCCTCTCCACCCTATTCTCCGCGCGCCGGCCTCGCTCTTCCGCCTGCTCCCCTGCGCGTCGGACGCCCTAACCCCCCGCCCCCCCTCGACGCCCTAGCCCTCCGACTTTCTCCACCAGCCGGGAAACTTAGCTATTTTGAACAGTTAATTGTGAGGATTTACTTTCTCTAGTATATTTTGATTTTTTTCAAATATTTGTTTATTTATTGTTATCTTTTGATATTGAAGAATGTTTATTACGCAGAACAATATTTATTGTTATTTTTGATTATTGAAGAATGTTTATTACACACCACTATCGCCCGACCGACGTCCTAGCCTACCTGCTCACCGCCCTCTGTCTCATCCTTCTCATCGCCATCCTTAGCCACCACGGTCTTCCCTCCTTAAAGAGGTATTTTCAAATTTTTTTGAATTTTTTTGAATTTTTTCAAATATTTTTATTGACTGTTATCTTTTGAATATTGTAGAATGCTTATTACCCTAAACTTAATTTTAGACCTAATAATTTTAGCCCTAATTACAACACAATCTTTAAACCTCATCGAAACCCTAACCTTCTTACCCAAATAGTTATCCTTATTAATTTTAGACATAAAACCCTAGTACCCTAAAATATGTGAATCTATCAAAAATTTGTATATTTTTATTAAAAATTAGTAGTGTGATATATAACACAATAATGTGTTATATATTAATTTTAGGTGAATAACAAGTTAACGTTAGCCGTAGATTCCCGTCCAATAATTACTACCAATTATTTAGACTTATAATATAAACGGACGATTCCACTTTGGGTATGAAATTTCATTTTATACTGAAAAGGATCGCTTAATTTATGTTATAAGAAGAAAGAATTTAAAGGCATAAAGGAGATTTGGGTGAAGCTTATGGTAATTATTTATTATACTGCTTATTTTGTTTACAATTCACAATGATTATTCTTATAGTATAATTTTTTTGCCATGTAACTTGCAGGATCATTATTGTCTTGAGGACAACCCAGAGTCTTGGGATTATGTTATCCCTAAAATGGCCAAGCTTATTCGGGGTTGGAAGAGTGCTCTAAAAAATAGATATTTTACAAAAATATCTACTGATTGGAAGAGGATCTATGAGCTTGATAAGAGAGTTTATCCATTTAATTGGATGACTCTCATTATCGAGTGGGAGGGTGAGAAGAAGGTGGATTATTTTTAATTTAAGATATTATCATGACATTATTTTTTATTTATATATAATCATCACACATACTAATAAAGTACTTTATTTTGTAGAAAATATGTGAGACAGCATCGGTGAATCGCAAAATGAAGATATACGATCACTTCTTAGGATCTACTCCTTATGCTCGGATCGAGCATAAGTATTTGAGTGAAAACCCGGTATGATCATATTATTAAAACTGATATCATGTGATTATTTTTATACATTTACTTTAAAATTTAATATATCACAGGACGCTTTGACTATGCCCCCGGCTCTTCTTGCTAGAAGAGCTTATACACCGCCCCAGGGCTATGAAAATATAGAGGGAAATGACAAAAAAGTGGAGAAAATTAATGAATTGGTCATAAGTATAAGATTAATTTTAGATTTGTATATACTTAATGATTTTTCATCAAAGTTTCTAACTTTTATGATATATGATATACAGGCGGCGGTGGAAGCTTCTCAAAACGAGGTCTTGACCCGTGTCAGTCAGTCTCAGGGTACAGAGGACACTCCTGTAGAGCCTAACCGCATGACCAGAGACGAGTAGATGGAAGTCGTCGACGGAGCTTACGGTTTACAACCAAGAAAGAAAGGAAGAGTTCCTTTGTCAAGTGTTGTAGCTAAGAAATTCACCACCACCAATAAGCCTAGCAGCCAATCTGTGATCTCGACGCGACCATGTGACACATCATACGTCGTGGGTAAGATTGGTCAATACTTGTTGAAGAATGTTGAAGCCTCTTTGGTTTTAAGCTTTCTTCCCACTATTAAACACGAGTTAGACGGTGCACAAACGACCTGGGATGTCGTTCAGCGACTCATTGATTCTCAACCCTTAAAGGACTTGCTTCCGCAGCCTATATACATGGATATCATGAGGATGGCATTTAATGAGCATGCAACTATAAGTGATGGGGAGGTATGTATGTCATATTATATATGCAGTTATTATGAATATTTGGAATATATTCTCATATTGATTTATATTCTTTTCAGGCTAGAGGAGGTACTGTAGGAAGTAGCAGTACGATACGACATTTTGATGCAGCCGCTGCCGACGATAGGGATCACGACGATAGGGACCAAGATGACTACGATGAATGAGTACTGAGTTAGACTTTTTTGTTACTTTTATCGACTTTTGGATTGTGTTGAGCATATAATGACCTCCGGATTATATATATACGTGAAGTTATACTTTTTTGTTACTTTTGTCGATTTTTTGTTACTTTTGTTACTTTTGTCGATTTTTTGATTGTGTTGAGCATATATAGTGTGTGTGTGTGAATCGATGAATGATGAATGTGATTATTATTGGATGTGAATTGATGGATGTGAATACTGTTGGATGTGAATTGATGAATGTGAATACTATTGGATGTGAATTGATGAATGTGAATATTGTTAGATGTGAATCGATGAATGTGAATATTGTTGAATATTTTATGAATATTGGAAGCAACAGGTATATATTCCCAAATGGGGCTCAAAAAGTAGCAATTTTTTTTCCCGAATTACATTCTTTAGCGACGAAAAGGTCCGTCGCTAATGAACATCGGCGACGGGAAAATCAGTCGCCAACGTACATTTATCGCCCTCGCCAATAAACATTGGCGACATGGTGCTTTCCGTCACCAATAATCATTGGCGATGAGTTCAACCCCGTTGTCAATACACATTAGTGACGGGGTGTTTTCCATCGCCAATGTGTTTTGGCGATGGCTAGATTTTCGTCGCCAATAAACATTAGCGACGGGGTGCATTTTGTCGCCAATAAACATTGGCGACGGACAACACGCCGTCACCAATGTGTTTTGGCGACTACAAACTCGTAGTCGCCAAAACACATTGGCGCATTGGCGACGGACAACACGCCGTCACCAATGTGTTTTGGCGACGGTAAACTTGTAGTCGCCAAAACACATTGGCGACGGAAAGCACCCCGTCGCCAATGTGTATTGACGACGGTGGTAAACCCGTCGCCAATGTTTCCCGTCACCAATACCTCTCCGTCGCCAATGTACATTGGCGACGGATGACCCCGTCGCCAATGTGCATTGGCGAGGGGATTATTGGTGACGGGCAAGTGGGCGTCACGAATGTGCATTCGTGACGGATTTGACTGCATTGGCGACGGATTTCCCCGTCGCCAATACTCTGTTTTCTACTAGTGCTCCCTCCCTCCCTCTTATAATCTTATAAGACTTTCCACGTACTAGTGTGCACCCCATGCAAAACACGACCCATTTTTTTAAGTATTGCGTTCTGAACTTATCTCCCTCTAAGTTTTAATACATTTAATTTGATCATTATATGCTTAAAATTAGAAATTATATCTACTCTTCTACACTTATAGGAGGGTCTATATTTTAATACATTTGATTTAGAAATCATATCCACTTCTTTATACTTAAAAGGAGAATCTAAGTTTCTATACATTTGATTTTAATTACTATTTATGATACAGTACAAAGCTGTAGCATAAACAATAACTTTAAACATATGGTGGGAGATTTGATTTACTGTTCACGGTACAATAATTTACTACAGCAGACAGATTGGGTGGTCTATTTACTATTCACGACACAATAGCTACTGTAGCATTTACTATATTATAAATAGTGCTTTTTTGGATCCTCGTATAAGTATAAATTAGTATGCACCCCGTACAAAGCATGACCCCCCTCCTTTTTAAGTATTGTATTTTGAACTTACCTCTCTCTAAGTTTTAATACATTTAATTTGATTATTCTATGCTTAAATTAGAAATTATATCTACTCCTCTATACTTAAAGGAGGATCCAAGTTTTAATACATTTGATTTAGAAATCATATCTACTCATTCATACTTAGAGGAGGATCTAAGTTTTAATGCATTTGATTTGATTTTACTGTTTATGATACAGTAAAATACCGTCGCATAAACAGTAACTTCAAAACATAGTGATTCTTTGGATCCTCCTGTAAGTATAGAAGAATAGAATAGTAAACGTTGTAGTGTTTAATGTAGTATGAATAGTGATTTTTTGTGTTCTCCTGTAAGTATGGAAGAGTAGATGTGACTTTTAAATCCGGACCCAAACACCTACGAGGTGGACCAACTTAGCTAGGCACCAATGCAAACTTGACTAACCAAATATTTAAGCTCACTCATAATGTGGACCCAAACCCAGCAGCTTTTAGGACCGGCCCTTAAAAATGTTCTCAAGAGTTTTGAGGTCCATGCTTCATGCCTTCATCAAACCCATGTAAATGGAGTCTAAAGTCCTTATTCAAACGTTGAAGTATAATTAATCTCTTTTATCTGTTTGACATATTCTTTTTTTTATAGTATTCGACCTAATTAATTAAATTGTCTGATTAAAGCTAATCCTTCTGTAGGACTTAGAGCAATCTCTCATGAGGCAAGGACCTATCTTTCATGCTACGGTGTAGTAGAAGTCTTCATATAGGTTGTCGCGTTGTCCCTTTACATAATGGCCACAAAAGTTAGATGACAGAGTTAGGTTCACACATTAATCTCATCTAACTTTGTTAGCTCCGAGTTCCAAGGATTCTTGCCTAAGTATTTGGCATCAATGCCACGGTTGACGTTTATTTTGAAAGCCCTCTTTAAACATTCTCGACTTTTGTTTGGGTGATCCAAGTCTTTTGATGCCTAACCTGAATAGGAGCTGTATTATCTGAATTTTCAAAGGTAGCGTTCCTGTTCCACTTTTGGACTCTTCTAGCTTAGATTTCGTACCGTCCTCTAATATGTTAAAGTTAATAATATCAGATAGGATAAGGGTTTCTGTTGACTGAGGATTAAAGATTGTCAACGTTTAATTAATAAAAAATGTCTTAGGAGCCCTACATGAGACAGGTGAGGTGTCGGTTTCTTGTCCCATAATGCACTGTTCATAAACAGTGCATTATGGGACAAGAAACCGACACCTCACCTGTCTCATATAGGGTCTTATGTTTTGGGTGTCTGTAGCATCACCCTTAATTAATCTATCTTTTGATACTTGGAAGTTTATAAATTTTGAAGAACGAATATTGTTAGTTATCCTAGCTCCCACGTAAGAGGACATGAACTTTTTTTTGTTTTATCAGAATGTGCGTTTTGAGTAGTGTTTTTACCTATTTACTCAAGTCCCTTCACCCTTAACCTGAGATAGATAACAGTCTCTATAATATTCTTATGCGCAAGTTTTAATTTTTTCTTAATAAGGCTTAAAAAAAAAACCTTTGCTTTGAAAATATTAGGGAAAACCCCCCTCATAATTTAGGGGTTATCAAAAAACTGTCTTTTACTTTAAAATTTTATTATGAAACCTCCCAACTGCGTTATCCCTTGTTATCCTAAATTTCCCGAGGACAAAATTACCCCCCATCAGGCATTTCCTTTACACGTGATAAAAAAAATAAAAAAGAGATTAGTTAAAAGCTCATCAATTTGATTTCTCGCCGAAAGGCCCTCCCACTCATTTTGATCTCTTGCCAAAAATCCCTTTCGAAGAGCCCGCCCCAACTCAAAATCCCTCTCTCGAGCCCCCTGTCTGCTCGCTTTTGCTCAGGTTTGTGCGTCAGGTTCACCGGAGTCGGTAGAAGACGACCGAGGACCTCGATCACGTGGTCGAGACGCTCCTAATCCTCTCTCTCTCTCTCTCCAAGAAGTTCTCTCTTAAAAGCCCTTATTATCTCGTGCCAAGAAAGAGCCTAATTTCTACACCCCCAATGACAAATATGAAGTTTAATGAAGGGCATTGTTGGTTTATTTGAAAGGAGGAGGAGAAGAGAAATCGGATTTCTGGGGTTTATTTGAAGAAACTCGAGGGCAATTTTGTCTTTTTGTACTCGTGTGAGAAACGCTTGTGCAGTCAGAAATAACACAGACTGGTTTGGGGGTTTTCGGAGAGAACTTGAGTTTTAGTTTTTTTTTTTTTTTTTTTGGTTTTTTTGGGGTTTGGAGGTTAAAGGGGATTTTTTTATAATCATCCAGAGTTAAGAGGGGTTTTCCGATGCCTATTTTTCATATTTAAGAAATAATGCATACAATGTAATAACATTAAGGGGGTGTTTGTTTGCATGCAAGTGAAAGATGAAAGTGAAAAAGTTACTTTCATTTAACAATTAAGGTGTTTGTTTTCATGTAAATGGTTATGAAATTGAGATGCAAGAAAGTTGCCACATATGATTTAATGCAATTTTGACTTTCCCTAAAAAATTGGTGAAGTCACATGAAAGTGACAAAAAGGTAACTAATTTAATTAAATAATTTTAATTATACTTTCTACTTAATCTTATTTTGCCACGTCATCTTCACATTACACTTTCGATAATAATATAATTTTTCAAACAAACACTGTATTTTACTTGCATACTGACATGGATGTAAAAGTCATTTATAAAAAAAAAGTAACTTACATATTTTAAATTCACTTTCAGATTGTCAAACACCCCCTAAGTTACGCGAATTCAATCAAAATTTGTTTGTCCGACAAATAATCGATCAACTAGCAAATCTCCAATTTGTTAGCTTGGCGCATTTTCATGGATCGACTCCGCTGTTTTCTGTTGCAAGAGCCATAGCCAGAATCTTTCTCATTTCCAAATTCCTAATTTTGCCACGACAAACAACTGCCCAATTCCAAAACAGAAAACACCGGTGTCAACCTACCAGATGCATCCACGCGTTCTAGCCTTTCCGCCACGATCCCCGCACCCGGAAGCCACCGCATGGCCGCTTCAAAAAGCTTTCCCGCCAAAATATACCACGTGACCCACCTCTCCGACACGTGAAACTTATATGGGACCCACCGGCTCACCCGGTTCGACCTCGACAGCTACGGACGAGGGACCGCCACGCGTCGTTCAGCTTCTTCTGTGGACCCAGCAAAGGACGCGACCGACAGCTGAAATTATTGATGTGAAGGGGCGTACCCGAAGTGTCCGTGCTTCTGAGGGAACAGCCTGTCTTTTGTTTAACGTAAACAATTAATTAATTACCTTTTTTTTTATCGGTTTATGGTTATCTGCGGTGAGAGTACCGAACAGCCTCTGATGTTTGAAAGCTTTATATAAAAGTAAAAAAAGTTGACCGGTGTACAATTTTGTCCCATTTCGCACTATGTGCCGTGATCAATCAATAGGCTTTCAGAGCATTATATTTTATTTTATTGAACAAAGAGCGGTATATTTTATCTATAACTACCAGTTTTGT